CTGTCGCCCATTCTATTTAACCACGTTCTTGACTGGATTCTAAGGAAGGCCAACGTACAAGATCGTAAAGGAAAGGAAGTCGTTTATTGTGTCCTGTGAGCGGGACTGTATGATAAGGAAGGTTATAAATGGGACCAACCGGATTTTGTACTCATACGTCTAGCGGCTCAATTGACCATCTGGCCGTCACTGTCCTGTCCGCCTCGTGTGACCCCGGCTCCTTCATGCGCGCCCGTCCGCGCGTGCCCTTTGTCCGTGGGCGGACCGATAACGTGACCTGAGAGCTCGCCAAGGCCGTTCGTTAGGAATAATCCTAACATCCACAGTCTATGGTGTCACGGGTGAAGGTGTCCGCTAAATCAGTCGGTTGGTCCAAAAACGCTGGGAAGCCCAAACAGTTTTCAGGCTGTATCCCTGTCCAGGAGAAGGCACTTCTCGAAATTAATTCTCAAAATGACGTCTGCACTCGCTGTTACATGTCAAGTACATCTTAGGCAATCCAAGAAAGACGACTGAGGTGGTTTGACAGGTTCTTCTTCGTCAAATTCAAGAACTCAATGTTACTTCTCTCGACCCGACGCCATTATCCAATTGGAGACGTCTAAGAGGGTATCGGCTTACAACCTGGCTCGCCTCAGTCAGGATATGTAAGTGGTTCTTACACCTTCGGTATTCGGTCTCCAGCGCTGGCGAAGAGAATGGATTGAACTGTCTAGGTCTGCTGCCCCGGATCGCCTCTAAGCAGCTAACGCGTGGTGTTTATAGATCTATCCTGTTTATAAGATGGGACTGAGCGTTTACGTTTTTGCCTTCAAGCTACTGAGCTGCGGCTGACACTAACATAGAAACTCTCCCAGTGTGTGTGATGGATTTCAGAATGTTAACCATTACAGTGTTCTTACGCTAACCTGGAAATAAGCCTAAGTTCATGTGCATTACTCTTCCTGTTCCACCCCCCCCCCGCTGTTATCTGTAGTTGTTATTTTCGTAGTAAGATTACGTCTATTATTTAATTATTATCTGCTGTGGAAGCCACAAAGTCATTCCTAAGGTACAATTATAAGGCTGATTTCTAGGCTAACTTGATGTTCGAATTTTCGTTTTTAACAAATGTATTTGACTTTCCATTTTTAGGATTTTATGTTCTTCGAAAAAAAGCAAAATTCGCGACGTTAGCCGAATTCAAGTCCAGGCGCCGATCATGACACTTAAAATCTTTCGCAGTTAACTTCCCCTATAACTTCAACCGTTTAACTTCAACATATTTGTTTGACAGTGATGACTTTATGACGCTTTTCTGATAAAATTTGCCTCCTGTATGCATTTTAACTTAAAACTAATCCATAAAATTTTTCACACACATTTTTGAATAAAAGTGATTGTTGTGATTTTTGTAAGAATTCTGTTTTTTTTTTCGGAAAGACCTTCTTGGATTATTATTATTCTGTTTATTAACTCCAGAGTCTCCACGGTTTAATCGTCAACTAATTTGCATCATTGTATTTGAGAATGGACGTCTACTCGCAAACCAGAAATGGGAAGGTCTTCGATCTGAATGTCAGCAAAAGTAGCATTAAACCCATTTTCTGCTACTGTTTCCTGCTCATGTCTCTGATGATGAATCCGCGACGGATGTCGAAGCGTCAGGCGAATAAACGCCCTATCGCAGTGATCGAGTCGTCTTCTCCTTATTCTTCTTCTTCTTCTTCTTCTTCTCAAGAGTAGCATTGTTTGTGCAATCGTTCTAAAGATCGAGAAATTTCCCTAAAAATATTATAAAAGCACTATTTACTCCATTTTGAATGTAGACGGGAATTATATATCGCCCGAGAATTTCGGACCTAGGTATTAGGTTTTTAAAAGCTTGAGAATCCTTATAATTGTTATTAGCAGCGTTGCACCTCTACTACCGGTGCTTGACATTGAACCAGAGTTTAGACATAAACTTACATCACAGTCTTGACTCGCGTGGTCAATGAAAGGATGTCCGAGTGTTACGGGTAAGTGGAGATAAGAGAAGTCACTTAGCGGTAGAATTTAAGGCTTTGGGAGACTTGACATCATATAATATTCGGAACAGCCCTCTGTCTCAGGCAAAGTTGAAGACTTATGCGCTTTTCTTCATAAACAGTCACATTGAAATTTTACGGCGAAGACATTCTTCATGAAACTGTTTCACTGACAGCAAAAGCTAAGCCGTTCTGACAATATAGGTTACCGGTGTCCTTATAGTAAACAGGCACCTGTACGTGAGGTCACACATTGGGTTCACCACAGTCTATTCCGGACTCCTTCGCCCCCCCCCCATACTCAGGTTGCACTGGAAGTGACGGAGTGCGCAAGATGCGTAGCCTGTGGTTGCCATCTCACTAATGTCCTGTGAGTACTTGTTCCTCGTACGGCAACGCTTTCTGCCAGTGTGACCTGAACATCTGAGTGCTAAGTGGCACAAAATGTGAGGACATGTGAATTGGTTTCTAAAAAATAATGCGCGATCCAGCACATTGTGAAAATCGCAAGTTTTCTGCTTGCCAGTTCAAAAAGCGTAGTCTGGAACGTGAATCCAATACAAGGAGAGGTGGTTGCCCCACGTAATTGGTTAAAATTAGTCTAGTCTTCATCCTCATATTATGTACAACAATCATAAAGTATAAAGCATCCACGCGAGAGAAACCCTTTTCGACCACCGTCATACTGTTTATATGTCTGCTTGATAAAACAAACCCTGTGACAATTTCCCAAAAACGTGCGTTATTCCCGTTCTGTTCTTGCTGCCGACGGAGCTAGCCTGGATGGACTTAAGAGAGGATTTTTGCAAGTTTATTCAGAAGCTAGGATGCCTTTCATCAATAAATATGAAATATAGTGGCCAAATCGTGGTCAGCGGCTGTAATCAACATAACATATGTTGCCGTCGATAGAAGGGAATATGCGAGTTCCCGGAAGCTGTTCAGAAAAAGATGATGTGACCACTGGAACAAGAGTTTTATTCTCCTGACGTTTCGGATTCTGTCGGGAATCATTAATCATAGGTAACAATAGGTTTCATGGTTCTCAGACCCCCAGTCCGTCAACAAGCGCAACGATTTGGCGTTCCCCTACTGCGTACTGAGGCATTGCCTGAGCACGAGAATCAGTCACGTGGGAATGGCCGGGCCCAGCAACAACTCTGACGACAGCGAGCATAATTGTCGTGCAATTATCAAGCCAGCATTCAAGCACGGACTACGAAATCCCGGCCATTAATGAGTCGATCTCGAAGTGTCAAGCCATCACCGCATCAATTAAGACCCCAAGCGGTGGCTACAGGAACTGATAATTATAGTACGCATGCTGATGATCGCAACGAAAGATAAATACCGTGCAATATGTGCATGTATCACCCCTATTTGAGCATGTCTCAGACTGTCCTACGAAAAGATATGATTAAGGATTCTCGACAGAATCCGAAACGTCGGGAAAATGAAACTCTCGTTCTGGTGGTCACATCTTCTTTTTCTTCTGATGTGTTGTCAGGTCAGGTCAGGTCAGGTTTTATTGAGGGAAATATAGGTAAATAC